CCATGAAAGAGAGTCGCAGATTAATAATAACTAAATCAAGATTATTTGCTCGATTCCTGCAAATTACAATCAGAGGACTGTTTTATCTCCTAACAGCTGGAAGGAGAAACACAGAAGCATCATTGTTTTCACTCTAGATATGCAGGTTTTTAAGTGAGATCTCTGCAGCAATAAAAGTCGTAAAACAATCCTAGAAATGAAGGGCACGTAAATTCAAGTCAAATGTGTAAAAGCTTCTTGAGAGCCAAGCAATAGTAATTTCAGTCAAAGCAATATTTAGAGAACAATTATTTTACAGTATACTGTGAAGTCTGGCTTTCACAAACGTATTTTCCAGCCAGTGTTCTGCTCTCCACCGTGTAATTTTAAACTGCTCAGCCGTGAATCACCAACATATACTTGTTAAATCAGGAAACCAAATGATAAACAATATGATTCAGTAAGTTAGTGCATTTACCAGCAATGAAAGCCTTGACATTAATGCGACTCCCCTACCATGCTTACCCAAGGCCCTGCAGTTTTTAAACCCTGACTCACGTCTCTGAGAAACCATGGTCTTAAATTTGGTCCTTCAACTTTGTAGCAAAGGGAAAATTTCCCACTTGGTGAAAAATGAAATGGAGCAACCTTTTTTCTTCATACAATGTGTTCAATCACACACTACAGTATCACACTGCTTTAACGCTGGTGTATCAGGTTCCCTCTCTCTGCACGTCTTCCTCCAATGATTATCAAAAAGACACAAACATCTGTCTGAACCTTTATGCAAGGGAAAGCTTCAAGATAGAGTCATTGCATCCAAAAGGGGCCTTTAGAGGGGATGGCAGGGAGCTGGGAGGTCTGATACAGTCCAATATCAGGTCTGTCAGAATACATGTGGGGGTTGTACGTGGTTTGCTTGGGTTGAACCTGAAACTTCAACCAACACCTGATGCTGGTTATGAAAGGAATAGAAAAGGGAACCAAACAGCCTTGGACCACCTGCAGAACGTGTGTGTATGTGTGTGTGATGTTTATTGTGCATGCTGGTCTATACCATTTTTTGGGGATTTTAGAAGACCACCTGAAAGCTTAGAGTGTTTAATGCAGCGCCAAATGTCTTTAAAGCCTCACTTTTTGGATGATGGAACAACAAACACGTGAAATGCAAATACAAGACATGACCTGCATCTTCTGGGTTGGTATTAATAGTATACTGGGAGTCCACGTGGTGGGGCTCCTGTCTCTATGGGTGTGTGTGTGTGACATGAATTTCTCCACGGGTGTGTCAGTGCATGTGTAGATGTGTGTGTTCTAGCATTATTTAGCTAAATGGTAACTTGAGGTGCCGGTATTCCTGTCAAACCTCACTCCTCCTTCCCTCTTTCGGACTCCCCCTTCATCTCTCCCTCCTGCCACATGCACGGCTAGTTCTGAGAAAAGGCAGGGTGTTTGAAGCCGAGCGGCAAGGGGTCTAATCTAAAGGGGGAACGTGGTTTAGCACTCTTACCAGAAAGCAAACCCTCCCATCGCCTTGTAAATCTTACTTGGCAGATCTTCTGCAGACCCACTCACAGACGAAGGCTTTAAAAACCTTCAACTGTCCATCCAGCACGGCCAAACAGAATATCCAAAGTACTTAAGTGACCATATATTTCTTTAAAAGCTACAAAAAATGAATGATTGTGTTTCATGAATAAAAGACTAGACTATTTAGACTCACAAAAAATTGTGGCTTGTCGGTGGCTTAGTCATTAAAACCTTGGAAATATTTATTACCTGTAATTCAAAACTGTGATGACATTTAAGATAAACTTGTTCTTCAGAGATGCGAAAAAAGGTCTAAATGTCTCCAATTCCTCAGCTCAACTTGACTCGACTGGTCATTTTCCATTGCAGATGAGTCCCAAGATGCCATTTGTACGTGACACAACCACAACACAGCAATGGAGGACACTGAGGCGATGGTATACTTGCTGCTAAACCCATAGTAAACGTCTGTATTTCGTCACTGGATCACAGTGTTGTCATTGCTGGGTTTCAAAAATAGCCGGTTTAATTCTTTCGAAGAACTCTCATGACTCATGCAGTCACTCTTTGGCCAATCAGTGGCATGCAGTTTGTTCACGTCACGTCACCTGGTACCAGGTTCTACTACTTAAACAAAGCTACTAGAAATACTTCTATAAATACAAGATGCTTGTAGACGGCTTCGACTGAGAGACTCTGAGACAAAAGAACAAATCAAGACTCAACTGCACTAAATATTGTTGATGTTTTGAATGTGACTGAATGAGATTTTCAGTCTTCTTGCCCTTTAATGAGTAAAAATACATATTTCAGTGTGAAGTCTGCAATCTGTCAGCACGTTCAACAACCAGGCTTTCTGCCAGCGGAGCCAGTTTCATACCTTTCTTCAGCTCGGTTACACGAGTGCAGGGCTGCGGGGGCAGACTTAACGTTTTGCTGTTTGTTTCAAGTTGAACACACACATAGTCGAAAATATACCCTCCCTGCTTCAGCTGCTTTTAATAAACAAAATGCTTTCTTCTGATCTTGTTCCACCTTCTAATGTTCGGCCAGATACGTTGCCTGGTGCTGACAACAGCTAATACACACACACACACGGACACACACACATGAAGACCAGTGTGTAAGGACGGCCAACAATGAAATATTCAGAAACAGCAAAGATGAGGATGATGACGGTCTAGTGGTGAATAACAAAATGTTGGATATTGGCCAAACTAACTTCCTACTCATTGCATACAGATGCTTGTTCGTGATTCTTTGGTATCACCTTTGAATGCACCAAGTGTCCCTTTAGCATAATGTTTCCACTACTAGTGAGGTAAATGGTAGAAAAACAGGTTAAAAGGGGTCTAGAAAGTACAAAAAACTATGGTTAAAAACCACAATTAAACTAACGCTGCACAATTAAAACAAGATAAACAAGAAAAGGTTTGACTTTGGCCCTACCATCTGTTTTTGGGCCACATGTTTCTGGTCAGTGTCAAATTATAACATCATGTACATAATATCTTTGTGCTTGTCTCTGCTGTATCATTGTGAAGATTTATAGTCCTTGAAGAAGATGTGCAAGGACTTTTTTCTATGTGTCTGTACAGGCAGTGGATACAAATCCATATTTTCCACTGAAAGTATGCAGTTTGCTACTTGCTGTGAAGTGCCATAATTGTAAAAACATGTGCGCTTGTAGCTTCTGATGTGCAAATCCACAATGAGTATAAAATTTATGGTCGCGCTCCTTTAAATATTCCTGCCTGGCTCGGACCTGAACATTCACTCCTTCCTCTTTCTTGTGCTTTGCATCTCTTTTTCATTTTCCGCCTCTTTGCTTCTTTTTATTCATCTTTGTCTAAATCTACATCTACAGGGGGGAAATGGTTCAACAGCGTGCTACATTTCACACTTTAACCGGCCGCATACCCCTCTGAGAGTGTGTGTATTTGTATAACCTCTTCTTGTATTTGCTTTCATGTCTTTAGAGAAAAGGCAGCAATTGTACATGAGCACGCTCAGAAATATGACTCCCACAGTCCAGTGTGTGTATGTATCTACGAGTGTGTCCAGGGGGCAGTGTTTTCCTAAAGGGTCATGTCCTTCCACGTTTTAATAGAGAGACATTGGATATGTGGACAGAACCTCCGTGCGTGCATGCGATTAAGCTGATGTGTGTGCATGTCTGAGGGAGAGAAAAGGATGTTTCTAGGTTAGCCTCTGCTGACCGCTGGTTGTTGCAGCTTCAGGGCCAAAACCAGCAGTCCTGATGTGAGTTTGTGTGTCTGACAAACCCTGTAAACCACTGTTAGTCCTCTAAAATTGACCATCGTCATAGTTTCAGGCTTCATGCAGCCACAGCTTTCTTCACAAACTCGTTTGACTTCTTATTTCAGACAGGAGCTACCACAAGCAAAGGCATTTTACACAACACTGAAAGGACCATTGTTCAGTTAAACCTTCATCCAAGGAGGACTTAGTTTCACTTAAGCTCCCTTTAAATTAGGGCTGCCACAAACGATTATTTTGATAATCGACTAGTCACCGATTATTTTTGCGATTAGATCAGATCATGCATCCATTGGACGTAAAAGTACAGCTTACTGCACCAGCAGCATCTGCTCTTATATAACTATCATTA